CGTTGGACTACACATTACAATTTCATCTGAAAGGCTCCGATTGGGCTCCTTTAATCATCGATTTTTTAGGGTTGGTGTATTTTTTCATGATTTCAATCCTGGGGTTTTTCCCTCTAAAGGAAATGTGGGGGGGCAGCCCAATCTGTTTGACCCACATGTCCTGAATTTTCGCAGGGGACCCCGGGCTAAAGGGCCCCTGCAATTACCTTGCCCAAAGTTTCATGCCAAGAAGCAAATGGGAACAAATGAGCAAAGGTAGCGTCCGGGGTAAAAGGGTAGCGTACCGGGCAAAAGATGAGCATGCCGGGTAGAAGGGGAGGGGCCCGGGGCAAAAGGGTGAGCGTCCCGGAAAAGGGTGACGTCCCCGGTAGAAGGTGGCGTGAGGGGGAAAAGGTGAGCCTGGTAGAAGGTAGCGTGTGGGAAGAAGGTAGCGCTGTGTAAAAGGGTGAGTTGCCAGGCAAGGTAAGTTTGCAAGAAGAAGGTGAGCTCCCGCGTAGAAGGTGGGGGCCCGCGAAAAAAATTTAGGTGCCGAGAAGGTGAGCGTCCCGCGTAAAAAGGTGAGCGAGCCGCGTAAAGGTGAGTGTGCCATGTAAAAGGGTGAAAACCCCGTGTAGAAGGTGACGGCCAGGCAGATGGTAAGTTTCCCAAAAAGAAGGTGACCCATGCCAAGTAGAAGGTGGGGCGTCCCGGGGCAGAAGGGGAGGGCCAGTAAAGGTGACGTCCGTGTAGAAGGTGAGCGTGATGGGCAGAAAGCGTGAGCTGGGGGGTAAGGAGGTGGAGGGCGAGTAGCGTGGGGGTAGGTAAGGGGGAGGGGGGAGGGGGTGGAGAATGCTCAGGAGAAGGAGAGCGTGAAAATAAAATTATACATGCGCATACATAGACCTCTACAGAGTGGATACGACAAGAGGTTTAGGAGCCATAATTCCTTAAAGGCGTCTTCATTCAACCTCTATCATGGTGAGTGCATTTGATGTGGTTTTCACGGGTGGAAGGTGGAAGTTTCTTTATAATAGAAGAAGAATTTGAAATTTCTTTTTGCCAAATACATTTTGGAATTTTTTTTAACTTTGGTTTAAAAATTTTGATGGACTTTAATTTATCAATTAATTTTTAATTTTTTTATATTGTTTGCATTTTTGTTTATTTGATTAGAGGGCTAGTTTTGCGCTGTTTATTTTTATTTTTTTTCAATTTTGGCCACATGCACAGCAGCAGGATAGAACCTGAAGTAGGGGGTTTCTTGAGGCCGAAGAATTTTTTTGAAGGTGACGGCTGAGAACTACTTCAGAAGCGAAGCGAATTCCACTTTATATTTGGCTTTCAAAGTGTTTTTTATGTCAACCGACCAGGGCCCGCTTTCCCACTTTCTTCGCGGAAACCCTGACAGCCGGGACCTTCCGCCGCTTCGTACCGCCAAACTGAAGCAGTTACAAATGGAGGCCTTTCCCCCCGTCTGTAGAGGTATCTCTCGTTACGTAGAAAAGTCTTTTCATTGAGAACTTTCCCTTTGGGGGCCAATACCCCCAAACCCAATGTTAGCTTTTCACCGAACTTGTGAGAAAAAAAGGCGGGTTTGATTGGATGCTTCGGCAGTAGTTTTCTTGAATCGGGTTCTAGAAGCGGCGTTCTGTCCATTTCATAGCCTCCCCATGTAATGATGTCTGAGAAGCAATCTAGGGCTGTGTGTGGTATTTGCGGCATTCCTCATTTCTGCAATGTTCTATCAGAGGAGGTGGGAGGGCTAGGAATGGTTGTACATGGACAGGTCTGCGGAATCACGCATGGGCCTAGATTCAGGGGTGGACAAACTTTTGGACTTGAGGGAGCCGCAATGGGTTCATATATTGGACCCGGGGGCCGGTCTAGCTGCTGGCCGGCCCTAGACACTACCTTGCCATCCATAGGTAAGTATAGTAATTATGCCCCATAGTAAGCATAGTAATTAATCCCCCATATAGTAATTCATACCCCCATAGTAATTTAATCCCCCCTTATAGTAATTCATCCCCATATAGTAACTTCATCCCCCATATAGTAGTTCATCACCCCATATAGTAATTCATCTATATCCCCTATAGTAATTCATCCCCCTATAGTAATTCATCCCCCATATAGTAATTCATCCCCAATAGTAATTCATCCCCCATATAGTAATTCATCATGCCCCCATATAGTAATTATCCCCCATTATAGTAATTCATCCCCCAATAGTAATCATCCCCCATATAGTAATTCATCCCCCATATAGTAATTTCCCCCATAGTAATTCATCCCCATATAGTAATTTCATCCCCCCATTAGTAATTCATCCCCCTATATAGTATTCATCCCCCATATAGTAATTCATACCCCCCATAGTAATTCATCCCCCTTATAGTAATTCATCCCCCCTATAGTAATTCATCCCCCATAGTAATTCATCCCCCATATAGTAATTCATCCCCCATATAGTAATTCATCCCCCTATAGTAATTCATCCCCCATATAGTAATTCATCCCCCATAGTAATTCATCCCCCATATAGTAATTCATCCCCCATATAGTAATTCATCCCCCATATAAATTCATCCCCCATATAGTAATTCATCCCCCATAGTAATTCATCCCCCAGTAATTCATCCCCCATATAGTAATTTCATCCCCATATAGTAATTCATCCCCCATATAGTAATTCATCCCCCATAGTAATTCATCCCCCATATAGTAATTCATCCCCCATATTGTAATTCATCCCCCATAGTAATTCATCCCCCATATAGTAATTCATCCCCCATATAGTAATTCATCCCCCATATAGTAATTCATCCCCCATATAGTAATTCATCCCCCATATAGTAATTCATCCCCCTATAGTAATTCATCCCCCATATAGTAATTCATCCCCCCATATAGTAATTCATCCCCCATATAGTAATTCATCCCCCATATAGTAATTCATCCCCCATATAGTAATTCATCCCCCATATAGTAATTCATCCCCCATAGTAAATTCATCCCCCATATAGTAATTCATCCCCCATATAGTAATTCATCCCCCATATAGTAATTCATCCCCCATAGTAATTCATCCCCCATATAAATTCATCCCCATATAGTAATTCATCCCCCATAGTAATTCATCCCCCTATAGTAATTCATCCCCCATATAGTAATTCATCCCCATATAGTAATTCATCCCCCATATAGTAATTCATCCCCCCATGTAATTCATCCCCCATATAGTAATTCATCCCCCATATAGTAATTCATCCCCCATATAGTAATTCATCCCCCCATAGTAATTCATCCCCCCATATAGTAATTCATCCCCCATATAGTAATTCATCCCCCATATAGTAATTCATCCCCCCATATAGTAATTCATCCCCATATAGTAATTCATCCCCCATATAGTAATTCATCCCCCATATAGTAATTCATCCCCCATATAGTAATTCATCCCCCCTATAGTAATTCATCCCCCATATAGTAATTCATCCCCCATATAGTAATTCATCCCCCATATAGTAATTCATCCCCCCATATAGTAATTCATCCCCCATATAGTAATTCATCCCCCCATAGTAATTCATCCCCCATAGTAATTCATCCCCTATAGTAATTCATCCCCCATATAGTAATTATAGTAATTCATCCCCCATATAGTAATTCATCCCCCATATAGTAATTCATCCCCCATATAGTAATTCATCCCCCATATAGTAATTCATCCCCATATAGTAATTCATCCCCCATATAGTAATTCATCCCCCATAGTAATTCATCCCCCATATAGTAATTCATCCCCCATATAGTAATTCATCCCCCATATAGTAATTCATCCCCCATATAGTAATTCATCCCCCATATAGTAATTCATCCCCCTATAGTAATTCATCCCCATATAGTAATTCATAATTAATTCATCCATATAGTAATTCATCCCCATATAGTAATTCATCCCCCCATAGTAATTCATCCCCCATATAGTAATTCATCCCCATATAGTATTCATCCCCCATATAGTAATTCATCCCCCATATAGTAATTCATCCCCCATATAGTAATTCATCCCCCATAGTAATTCATCCCCCATAGTAATTCATCCCCCATATAGTAATTCATCCCCCATAGTAATTCATCCCCCCATATAGTAATTCATCCCCCATATAGTAATTCATCCCCCCATATAGTAATTCATCCCCCATAGTATTCATCCCCCATATTCATCCCCCCATAGTAATTCATCCCCCATATAGTAATTCATCCCCCCATATAGTAATTCATCCCCCCATATAGTAATTCATCCCCATATAGTAATTCATCCCCATATAGTAATTCATCCCCCATAGTAATTCATCCCCCATATAGTAATTCATCCCCCATATAGTAATTCATCCCCCATATAGTAATTCATCCCCCATATAGTAATTCATCCCCCATATAGTAATTCATCCCCCATATAGTAATTCATCCCCCATAGTAATTCATCCCCCTATAGTAATTCATCCCCCATAGTAATTCATCCCCCATAGTAATTCATCCCCCATATAGTAATTCATCCCCCCATAGTAAATTCATCCCCCATAGTAATTCATCCCCCATATAGTAATTCATCCCCCATATAGTAATTCATCCCCCCATATAGTAATTCATCCCCCATAGTAATTCATCCCCCATATAGTAATTCATCCCCCATATAGTAATTCATCCCCCATATAGTAATTCATCCCCCATAGTAATTCATCCCCCATATAGTAATTCATCCCCCATATAGTAATTCATCCCCCATATAGTAATTCATCCCCCATATAGTAATTCATCCCCCATATAGTAATTCATCCCCCCCATAGTAATTCATCCCCCATAGTAATTCATCCCCCATATAGTAATTCATCCCCCATATAGTAATTCATCCCCCATATAGTAATTCATCCCCCATATAGTAATTCATCCCCCATAGTAATTCATCCCCCATATAGTAATTCATCCCCCATAGTAATTCATTCCCCATAGTAATTCATCCCCCCATAGTAAGTCATCCCCCATATAGTAATTCATCCCCCATATAGTAATTCATCCCCCATAGTAATTCATCCCCCATATAGTAATTCATCCCCATATAGTAATTCATCCCCCATAGTAATTCATCCCCCATAGTAATTCATCCCCCATAGTAATTCATCCCCTTATTTTGTGTCAATTCACTTACCTTTGCTCCGCGCGTTCCTCTCGCCGTGTTCCCGCGCCGTTCCGGTCTTCAGGGCGGACTGTGAGAGGAGAGGAGTTTGTCACGCTGCCCCGCCTACATCCTGACAGCCAATGTTTGCCACGCTCCGCGGGCCGGATTAAAAGGTCCGCCGGGCCGTATACGGCCCACGGGCCTTAGTTTGCCCATTGCTGGCCTAGACTCTGCCCGTGTGAAACAATCACTTTACATTGGTTAGGAGGAACCCTGCTGAATGAAGAGATTTCCCAGCATGATGGACATTTCTTTGCAAGGCACATCTGAGCACTCAGTAGGGATTTAATTCTAACCAACCCAAATATCTTCTGGAAGGCTGTTATCCCGCACCGGCCATCCTTCCAGGCGAGAGCTGCTAGCTCCAGGGCAGCCATGTCACAGGGTATGGAGCCACACCGTTACTCACTGCTCTAGAGCTGGAAGATGCCCAGGGGAGACGTCCATCAGCTGACACTCATTGGTAGAAACCTCGTAGGTTTCATCTAAAATGTACCTTTTCGAAGATGGTAAATCTACTCCCAGAGTGTGGCCCCAAAGCCTACACTGACATCGAGAGGTCCACCAGACCTTGGATGGTCATGTTATACACCCATCACCCAGAGCCACCTAATTGTGAGTAGGTCCCCCTTTCCTGACCCTTCTAGGCATGGACTCAACTAGACCTCTGAAGGTATGCTGTGGTATCGGCACCAAGCCGTCAGTAGCAGATCCTTTAAGTCCTGTAAGCTGGGGGGCGGGGCCTCCATGGATCAGTCTTGCTTTTCTGGCACATTCCACAGATGCTCGATTGGATGGTGAACTAGAGAATTTGGAGGCCGAGTCAACATCTCCAACTCGTGTTCCTCAAACCATTCTTGAACCATTTTTGCCATGCGGCAGGGCGTATTATCTTGCTGAAAGAGGCCACTGCCCTCACGGAATACCGTTTCCATGAAGGGGTGGACTTGGTCACCAACAACGTTTAGGGTAGGTGGTACGTGTCAAGTAACATCCACATGAATGGAAGAGCCAAGGTTTCCCAGCAGAAACATTGCCCAAAACATCACACTGCCTCTGCTGGCTTGTCTTCTTCCCATACTGCATCCTGGTGCCATCTCTTCCCCAGGTAAGTGACACACAACCACCCCGCCATCCACATGATGGAACAGAAAACGTCATTCATCAGACCAGCCACCTTCTTTCATTGCTCCGTGGTCCAGTTCTGATGCTCAGCTGCCCATTGTAGACACTTCTGGCTGTAGACACGGGTCAGCATGGAGACCATGACCGGTCTGCAGCTACACAGCCCCATACACAACAAACTGCGATGGCCATTTTCTTCTGCTTCAACATGTCAACTTCGGGGACAACATGTTCACTTGCTGCCTAATATATCCCGCCCACTTTCAGATGCCATTGTAACCAGATGAGCAATGTCATTCACTTTACCTGTCAGTGGTCAGAATGTTATAGCTGATCAGTGTAGGTTCCTTCTGGACCCTCTATTGGCCAGTGAGCCATCGATGACATTTAGTGACCAATAGGGTGGTGCGGGATTGGACGAACCAGAGTGAAATCATCTAATATCTGTCATAATTTGCATAACAAGACACCTTGGGGGTTATTTACTAAAACTGGAGGGTGCAAAATCAGGTGCAGCTCTGCATAGAAACCAATCAGATTCCAGGTTTTGTTGCCAACGCGGAGTTCCAGTGAAAATGGAAAAAAATAATTTACATGATCTCCAGATTACGGGGAGGGAGGGGGGAGGAGGACAACTTCCATTTTTTGATTGCCTAGGCAATGTCAGCGGACGTGGGAGCGGGTACCTGTCATTTACGGGTACCCGCTCCCCAAAGGTGCCAATCCTAACGGGGAGTGGGGGAACAGTCCTTAAACTTCCCCTTTTGGGTGGAGCTCCGCTTTAACTGAACAACTTGAGGGTAGAAGCGATTGCCTGACTCTGCACTCTCCATAAACCCCGTACAGCTCTCAGAATATTCATATTGAAAAATATATTGTGATAATGTAAACTCTGACCGGTTCTTTTATCCTCCTCCAGGTTACTTTCAACGTTAATGACCCAAAAGAGAAATATCACGTGCCTCTCCTGATCACCCCACATTCCTATTCCACCTACAGAGGGAGCTAGAGGGGCGAAGGTGTCGGGGGCGACTGCCATTCATTCCTTCACCTACAGAGGGAGCTAGAGGGGCGAAGGTGTCGGGGCGACTGCCATACATTTCTTCTTCACCTACAGAGGGAGCTAGAGGGGCGAAGGTGTTGGGGCGACTGCCATACATTCCTTCACCTACAGAGGGAGCTAGAGGGGCGAAGCTGTCGGGGCGACTGAATTCCTTCACCTACAGAGGGAGCTAGAGGGCGAAGCTGTCGGGGCGACTGCCATACATTTCTTTCATTTTTTTAATAATACATTTTACTGAGACTACTACACAATTGCAGAGATTTCTGATATTTTTCAAAATAAATACATGATAAATGAAATGCTGTGTTTTCCTTGGAAATATGAAGTGAGAAAGTGAGCGCGGTTCTTTTTGTTTAAAGTAGCTTTTTCAAGAAACAAAAACAAACACATTGCTGTCCAATATATATATATAAACTGGTAACCGATCGGCGGGAAAGACGGTCCGGGAACCGATCGGCGGGAAAGGCGGGGAACCGATCGGCGGGAAAGCGGTCCTCCGGTAACCGATCAGCGGGAAAGACGGTCCTCCGGTAACCTATCAGCGGGACAGACGGTCCTCCGGGTAACCTATCAGCGGGACAGACGGTCCTCCGGTAACCGATCAGCGGGAAAGACGGTCCTCCGGTAACCGATCAGCGGGACAGACGGTCCTCCCTCCGGTAACCGATCAGCGGGAAAAGACGGTCCTCCGGTAACCGATCAGCGGGACAGACGGTCCTCCGGTAACCGATCAGCGGGAAAGACGGTCCTCCCGTAACCGATCAGCGGGAAAGACGGTCCTCCCGTAACCGATCAGCGGGAAAGACGGTCCTCCCGTAACCGATAACCGATCAGCGGGACAGACGGTCCTCCGGTAACCTATCAGCGGGAAAGACGGTCCTCCGGTAACCGATCAGCGGGACAGACGGTCCTCCGTAACCGATCAGCGGAAAGACGGTCCTCCGGTAACCGATCAGCGGGACAGACGGTCCTCCCGTATCCGATCAGCGGGAAAGACGTAACCGTCAGCCGGTCCCGTAACCGATCAGCGGGAAAGACGGTCCTCCCGTAACCGATCAGCGGGAAAAGACGGTCCTCCCGTAATCCGATCAGCGGGAAAGGCGGTCCTCCGGTAAACCTATCAGCGGGAAAGACGGTCCTCCGGTAACCGATCAGCGGGAAAGACGGTCCTCCGGTAACCGATCAGCGGGAACAGCGGGACAGACGGTCCTCCGGTAACCGATCAGCGGGAAAGATGGTCCTCCGGTAACCTATCAGCGGGACAGACGGTCCTCCCGTATCCGATCAGTGGGACAGACGGTCCTCCGGTAACCGGTCAGCTGACTCCACAAGCCAGTAATGAGGATTTGTAACAGTCAGCATTTCGGATCCTTCGCAGCATCAAACCCATTTATTATAGGCAGAGATAATAAATCCAGAAGAGCAGTTTACGCGTTTCTGTCCTGAGGGGAATCCTGAGGGCTGCTCTTCTGGAGTTGTCTTATCTCTGCCTATACTAAATAAATGGCTTTGATGCTGTGAAGGATCTGCTGCTGAAGTGGCAGAGCGCAGGAATGACAGATTGCTTTTTGCTGGCAGAGTGAGGAGAGAGTTCAGGCAGCCTGGCAGTTCACACATTTTTTCAGAAGTTGGGGTTCAGTGATCAGTGCAGCTTCAGAAAATGAAGTCTCATAATCAGGTCAATCAGCTGCAGATTGGAAGTTCTGTCGAGCCGAAGACTGCCGGCATAAAATGCAGAAAGATCCGACGTTGGCAGCACCCCGGCTCTGGAAAACCGGTTCTACCTTTAGAGTGAAATCGCCTCGAGTCGTATGATGCCGAGAATCCGCGTCTCCCTGCAGCCGGTACAAATCCATGACCATCGCCATGACTGTTCTGATGGAACTACACATCCGGGCGACACATGACGCCTCTACATACAAGCTGCCAGTGACCAGGACCACGTTACTGAATCACATGTAACCGCATGGATGTGCTGCCACATGGGATGCCGGTCGTTGATTTGTACACACTGCTGGTCATTGATTTGTACACACTGCTGGTCATTGATTTGTACACACTGCTGGTCATTACTGCCGGTCATTGATTTGTACACACTGCTGGTCATTTGTACAGACTGCCGGTCATTGATTTGTACAGACTGCTGGTCATTGATTTGTACACACAGACTGCCGGTCATTGATTTGTACACACTGCCGGTCGTTGATTTGTACACACTGCCGGTCGTTGATTTGTACAGACTGCCGGTCGTTGATTTGTACACACACTGCGGTCATTGATTTGGTGCCGTTGATTTGTACACACACTGCCGGTCATTGATTTGTACACACTGCCGGTCATTGATTTTGTACACACTGCCGGTCATGCCGGTCATATGATTTGTACACACTGCCGGTACACATTGATTTGTACACACTGCTGGTCATTGATTTGTACTGCCGGTCATTGATTTGCCGGTACAGACTGCCGGTCATTGATTTGTACACACTGCTGGTCATTGATTTGTACTGCCGGTCATTGATTTGTACACACTGCCGGTCATTGATTTGTACACACTGCCGGTCATTGATTTGTACAGACTGCCGGTCATTGATTTGTACAGACTGCCGGTCATTGATTTGTACACACAGTGATTTGTACACACTGCCGGTCATTGATTTGTACAGACTGCCGGTCATTGATTTGTACAGACTGCCGGTCATTGATTGATTTGTACAGACTGCCGGTCATTGATTTGTACAGACTGCCGGTCATTGATTTGTACACACTGCCGGTCATTGATTTGTACACACTGCCGGTCATTGATTTGTACACACTGCCGGTCATTGATTTGTACACACTGCCGGTCATTGATTTGTACAGACTGCCGGTCACGGCTGATCTTGCACCCCTGTGCGTTCCCGCTGCAGACAGAGGCTGATTCTTGCAGGCACGTGACCCAAGTCAGACATGTGAATGAGCCCCTAATATGGAATCTATACAGAATAAAGCCACAAAAGTACAGAGAATGTTTCAGAAACTGTTTATGGAATGTTAAGTTAAAGGATAAGTAAGCTTCCATTGACAAATAAATATCCTTTCTTACCTTGCCATTAAAAGGGTTCTGCGCACAGTTCTGCGCACACGGAACCCCGCACACACGGAACCACACACACACGCACACGGACCAGCGCACACAGAACCGCACACGGACCAGCGCACCACGCACAGAACCGCCAGCGCACACAGAACCAGCGCACACAGAACACCTCATGTATGACGTGTCCCAACTAGAGAACAGTCTGTGTGTCTGCCCAGCCAGCCACCAATCATAGTCTTCCCTTTTTTGTTTCTTAGCTACAAGGAAGGGAGAGACTGATTGGCTGCTGGATAAAAATACAGAAAGTTGTCCGTTGTGACATAAAAACGGTCATTTTAAGAAGAACAAATTGTTTAGGGCCGTCTAATGCCGGCAATTCTGATTGTTTCACAGCTTTGCAGTAAGTGAAGGTGGAAGGCTGCATTGATCTGCCCGGCCATTTGTGCCATTAAAAAGCTGGTGAATAGTTGTTGAAGCTGCCTAAAAACTGCCATGTGAATGGTCAGCAGTAACATGGAAGGTCCTGAAAGTGTCAGCCGCCTGGACAATGGTCAGCAGTAACATGGAAGGTCCTGAAAGTGTCAGCCGCCTGGACAATGGTCAGCATTAATATGAAGGTCCTGAAAGTGTCAGCCGCCTGGACAATGGTCAGCAGTAACATGGAAGGTCCTGAAAGTTGTCAGCCGCTGGACAATGGTCAGTATTAACATGGAAGGTCCTGAAAGTGTCAGCCGCCTGGACAGGATGGTCAGTATTAACATGGAAGGTCCTGAAGTGTCAGCCGCCACAGGGACAATGGTCAGCAGTAACATGGAAGGTCCTGAAAGTGTCAGCCGCCTGGACAATGGTCAGCAGTAACATGGAAGGTCCTGAAAGTGTCAGCCGCCTGGATGGTTTTATCCTCCTGGAGAGATGATATGTTGTTTTAGGTGCTAGCAGCTACCAGTCCGGCTGGACCTTGCCCAAAGGTCTGCCCAGGAACCAGACATTCCAGCCAGGTTTGAATCCCAACTCGTCCACAGGGATGCCAAATGCCCGCATCTTAGCCTCATATGATCCGCAGCAGGTCATTGTGCGCCTGAAAAGACCAACAGACAGTGATCAGCCCAACAGACAGTGATCAGCCCAACAGACAGTGATCAGCCAGGTATGGACAGTGATCAGCCAGGTATGGACAGTGATCAGCCAGGTATGGACAGTGATCAGCCAGGTATGTACAGTGGAACCTTTACAGCTCATTCTCTCTCGTGTGGCAGTCCTCTGAAAAGCAATCTGTGGTGGAGATTGACAGGCGGCTCAGAGGTGATATGTCGCCTCCTTGCCCTGCAGACACCAGCATTGCGTGCAGATGCAGCTCATCGTCAGTAAAATGGTTCCAAAGCCTTAAACCTTCTGTGTCCAGATCCCCCCCCCCCTCCCCCCTTACCTGAGCCCAATCACGATCCAGTGCTTTCTCAGCTCTCCCCTCCTCACAGGGAGGATTGATAGTAGTGGCAACCATTGGCTCCTGCTGCTGTCAATCAAAGCCAGTGTGTGGGGGGGCAAAGTTTGTGTCAGTGGATGCAGGCAGTGCGGCTCGGGAGCAAGCGACTTGCTAGGGGGGTGCTCAGAAGGGTGGGGGAGGAGCTAGGAGCGGTGGTGGGGGAGGAGCTAGGAGCGGTGGTGGGGGATCCCAGAAGAGGATCGGGTCTGTTCTGTGGAAAACCATTACAGAGCCGGGACGTGTGACGTTTGTTATTTAAACCCCCCCCAAAGGTTTGATATGAAACGGGGGTGTACATTATGCTGCAGCTGTGAAGCCGGGCATTGCAGCTGCAGCATGTGTATAGCCCTGAGCGGCTGCATGTCTTTGTTTAGGTGAGTGGTTGGGGGCAGTAAAGCCTTGGCTCAATGGACCGGTTTTTAACACCCCCTAGCCACATGTCGGAATGAGCCTCCCATGTCCACCCAAAAGTGACATTTTAGTGAAGGTGAAGCCAGGTGGGTTAAATCTTATATATCTCACATCACCTCGTCTGACAGTGAGATCTCCGGCCACCATTGTCACCCATTCCTCTTCACTTCCGAACTTCGGTTTTCTTGCCTATTGTTGTGTTCTGACTCCTCCTCTTCCATTCCCCATCATATAAACAACTAAAAACCCGAGAAGGAATCCCGTATATTGGGCTCGGGGGTGTCCCGTACAATGGGCTCGGCAGAATCCCCTACAATGGGCTCAACAGAATCCCGTATATTGGGCTCGGGGGCGTCCCCTACAATGGGCTCAGCAGAATCCCCTACAATGGGCTCGGGGGCGTCCCTACAATGGGCTCGGGGGCGTCCCGTACAATGGGCTCGGGGGCGTCCCGTACAATGGGCTCGGGGGCGTCCTGTACATTGGGCTCAACAGAATCCCGTATATTGGGCTCGGGGGCGTCCCCTACAATGGGCAGAGCAGAATCCCGTACAATGGGCTCGGCAGAATCCCTACAATGGGCTCGGCGGAATCCCGTACAATGGGCTCGGCGGAATCCCCTACAATGGGCTCGGCGGAATCCCGTACAATGGGCTCGGCGGAATCCCCTACATTGGGCTCGGCAGAATCCCCTACAATGGGCTCGGCGGAATCCCCTACAATGGGCTCGGCGGAATCCCGTACAATGGGCTCGGGGGCGTCCCGTACAATGGGCTCGGCGGAATCCCCTACAATGGGCTCGGGGGCGTCCCCTACAATGGGCTCGGCGGAATCCCCTACAATGGGCTCGGCGGAATCCCCTACAATGGGCTCGGCGGAATCCCCTACATTGGGCTCGGCAGAATCCCCTACAATGGGCTCGGCGGAATCCCGTACAATGGGCTCGGGGGCGTCCCGTACAATGGGCTCGGCAGAATCCCGTACAATGGGCTCGGCAGAATCCCGTACAATGGGCTCGGCAGAATCCCGTACAATGGGCTCGGCAGAATCCCTACAATGGGCTCGGGGGCGTCCCGTACAATGGGCTCGGCGGAATCCCGTACAATGGGCTCGGCAGAATCCCGTATATTGGGCTCGGAGGCGTCCCCTACAATGGGCTCGGGGGCAAAATCCCCTACAATGGGCTCGGCAGAATCCCGTACATTGGGCTCGGGGGCGTCCCGTACAATGGGCTCGGGGGCGTCCCGTACAATGGGCTCGGCGGAATCCCCTACAATGGGCTCGGCGGAATCCCCTACAATGGGCTCGGCGGAATCCCCTACAATGGGCTCGGCGGAATCCCCTACAATGGGCTCGGCGGAATCCCGTACATTGGGCTCGGGGGCGTCCCGTACATTGGGCTCGGGGGCGTCCCGTACAATGGGCTCGGGGGCGTCCCCTACAATGGGCTCGGCAGAATCCCCTACAATGGGCTCGGCGGAATCCCCTACAATGGGCTCGGCGGAATCCCCTACAATGGGCTCGGCGGCGTCCCATATAATGGGCTTGACTGTACCTTAGACTGTACGCTCCTCGGGGGCGGGACTAATACAATATATATGTAAAGTGCTGAAATAAATAAATAATAAAAACACACAAATCCGCCAGTTTAGGACCCCCTGCTGTTGGTTTGATTAGAAACAAAATAGTAGAAGAGTCACCTAACTTGCCCCCCCCCCCCCCCCCCCTTTACTTATGCACCCTCTCATATGCACCCCTCATATGCACCCCTCATTTTGGCCACCAGAGAAAAAAAGTCCAGTGCAAGCTCCAAATAAACTATAAGGACTCCCTCCCTGCCTCCATGTGACAGTGCCGAGCCAATCTGGAGGCACCGGCCCTGTCACATGGGAGAAGGGGGAGGGAGTCCCATGCTAAGCTGTACCCGGAAGTACGGAGTATTTCACTTTGCTCCTGGAAGCTGAATGAGGCAATGAAGGGAAGGGGGTGGGGGAAGTATACTGGGGGGGTAGTAAAGTGACCCTCTTACTTTACCTCATCAGGACAAACAAAAAGGTCACCTTCCTGTGTTACAGAGCCCAGTGTGAGCAGAACGAGTGCAAGCTCTGCGACCCACACAGCAGAAGGAGTGCAAGCTCTGCGACCCACACAGAATGAGTGCAAGCTCTGCGACCCCACACAGAAGGAGTGCAAGCTCTGCGACCCACACAGCAGAACGAGTGCAAGCTCTGCGACCCACACAGAATGAGTGCAAGCTCTGCGACCCACACAGCAGAACGAGTGCAAGCTCTGCGACCCACACAGAAGGAGTGCAAGCTCTGCGACCCACACAGCAGAAGGAGTGCAAGCTCTGCGACCCACACAGAAGGTGAGTGCAAGCTCTGCGACCCACACAGCAGAACGAGTGCAAGCTCTGCGACCCACACAGAATGAGTGCAAGCTCTGCGACCCACACAGAATGAGTGCAAGCTCTGCGACCCACACAGCAGAACGAGTGCAAGCTCTGCGACCCACACAGAATGAGTGCAAGCTCTGCGACCCCACACAGAATGAGTGCAAGCTCTGCGACCCACACAGAATGAGTGCAAGCTCTGCGACCCACACAGCAGAACGAGTCAAGCTCTGCGATCCATACAGAAGGAGTGCAAGCTCTGCGACCCACACAGCAGAACGAGTGCAAGCTCTGCGACCCACACAGAAGGAGTGCAAGCTCTGCGACCCACACAGCAGAACGAGTGCAAGCTCTGCGACCCATACAGAACACCAGACTCCTCTACCTGTCCCAGAATCCTCCTCACCTTGCACACTCGAGCGAGTTCATACTGCAGGTCCTTGATGGCGCTGTTCTTGGAGTCCAATACATCCTGTGTGCAGAGAAGAGAGAAGCGGATTGGTGGCAGGAAGGTGATGAATGAACGGCGGCATTCCTGCTGTACATGAAAGGATGCGCTCACCTGCGGGACCCGGATTAGGGTGGAACATGTAACACGCCCCATAGCTGTACCCGCCCCCCCCCCTCCCCCTGACAGGTAATACGGGGAGACTTCTACCTGTACTGTCAAATCAGAAACCAGCGCAGCAGTGCGGAGCTCCGCCCACATGGCCATTCATTCATTCAGGGACTTCTGTGGATGAATGAACTGCAATTCCTGACAGCTTCACTGAACTACCGCGGGGCTGAGGAGCTGCCTGTCAGAATATCTGTTGGGCCGTACACCCCGCACACCCCATGTACATCCCGCACACCCCACACACCCCGCACACCCCATGTACATCCCGCACACACCCACACACCCCATGTACATCCCGCACACACCCCATGTACATCCCACACCCCGCACATCCCGCACACCCCATGTACATCCCGCACACCCGCACACACCCCATGTACATCCCATACACACCCACACACACCCATGTACACCCCATGTACACCCCGCACACACCACCCCACACACCCACACACCCCGCACACACCCCACACACCCCACACCCCATACACCCCACACACCCCATGTACATCCCGCACACCCCACACCCCGCACACCCCATGTACACCCCGCACACCCCACCCCGCACACCCCATGTACATCCCTGCACACACCCGCACACCCCACACACCCCATACACCCCATGTACACCCCATGCACACCCACACACCCCATGTACACACCCCGCACACACCCCATGTACACCCCGCACACCCCCACACCCACACCCCTGTACACCCCATACATACACACACCCCATGTACACCCCGCCCACCCCATACACACACCCCCACACCCCACACCACATGCACACACCATACACCCCACACACCCACCCCCCACACCCCACCCATACACCCCACACACACCCCATACACCCCCGTACCCCACCACATGTACACCCCACACACACACACCCACACACACCCATGTACACCCCCACCCACATACACCCCACACACACCCCATACAACCCCCATACACCCCACACCCATACCCCCCACACTGTACACCCCACACCCCATACACACACCATGCACACACACCATACACCCCACCCCCCACCCCATACACCCCCACCACCCGTACACATCCCCATACACCCACCCCATACACCCCATACACCCCCACACAACTCCACACCCCCTGTACACCCCGCACAAACCCCATACACTCCATACACCCCACACACACCCCATGTACAAACACCCGCACAACCACACACACCCCATGTACACCCCACCCCACACATTCCCACCACACCCACACCCTACACTCCCTACACCCCACACACACCCCATGTACACCCCACACACACCCTCATGTACACCACCCATACACCCCGTACAAACCATACACCCCATACACCCCGCACACACCATACACCCCACACACCCTGCACACCCTGTACACCCCATACACCCCACCCACACCCCATGTACACCCCGCACACCCCATACACCATACACCACACACTCCCCGCACACACACCATACACCCCACACACCATACACCCCCAAACACACCGCACACCCTGCACACCCCATACACCCCACACATCCCGTAAATTGCTACACCATGTAAACCCCATACTTATCGCACCCACCCCACACACCGTAAACCCCGTACTTCCCGTACATCCTGTAGACCCCATATATCCTGTACATCCCGCACCCCCACCCAAACCCGAACCACCACCGCACCCAAACCCGTACCCCACCCACACCCCCACCCAAACCCAAACCCCCACCTGCACCCGAACCACCACCTGCACCCCACCCAAACCTGGACCCCACCCACACCCCCCCAAACCATACCCCCACCCGCACCACTGTCAACCTGGGAGGGAAGTATTGCTGATGCAAACACCAGCCAGTCCTCCTGGTCCCCCCCAGCCCCAGACAGAACACTCGCCTCCAGTTTGCGGGTGACAACGCTGAGGGCGGAGGGGTCCAGGTTTGACGCTGCGAGGACTTCGTTGAGCTGAGCTTCTTTTTTCTCCAGGGTGTCGCCGAGCGCCTGTAACTTCCTCTCCAGCATCAGATTCTTGAAGCCGCTCTTCTGCTGAACCTCCTGAATGGCGGCGGAGAACTTCCTGTACAATTCATCGCGCTCCACCTGGACCTGTATGGGGGGCACAACCAGCATGTCTGCGATTAAAGGGGCCCTCCGCCTGGAAGGATTGGGCAAATGTCGGGGAGACAATCGCTGCTACAATCTGTGTTAGTATTGTTGGCTCCGCCCATGAGAAGAGGAAAGACTCCCCCCATTGGCTGAGAACAGGAGGAGTGAGACTCCAAGAGCTGGAATCTATGATGTAGAGGCCTCGTCCCCGGAGGTCCTAGGACATGTGAGAGGATTTCCCTTCCCCTCCCCCACAGCCCACGTATGAACAGAAACATCACTAACTTATCTAACCACAACACTATCTCGGGGCAACCACACACATCTCGGGGCAACAATCTCGGGGCAATCTCGGGGCAATCTCGGGACAATCTCGGGGCAATCTCGGGACAATCTCGGGACAATCTCGGGGCAATCTCGGGGCAATCTCGGGGACAATCTCGGGGCAATCTCGGGACAATCTCGGGGCAATCTCGGGACAATCTCTCGGGGCAATCTCGGGACAATCTCGGGACAATCTCGGGGCAATCTCGGGACAATCTCGGGGCAATCTCGGGACAATCTCGGGGCAATCTCGGGACAATCTCGGGGCAATCTCGGGGCAATCTCGGGACAATCTCGGGGCAATCTCTTCCAAATGTATCATGGAGACCTGCCGCAACAAGACATCTCACTGACATCCAATCAGGCAGGCGTAGCATTACATAGTTGTTGTCATGGAGATTGTACGGTCAGATTGTAGCATGTAGCGTGTAGCGTGTAGCGTGTAGCGTGTATTGTCAGCTTTCATGAATTCTCTAACTTTGCTATTTATATAGATTTTATGTACAAAAGTTGGATCTGCAAACGATGAAATTCACAGATTGTATGATGGCGCCCCCCAGCAGCCAGCGACCAAACTACACTAGCCATAGTGATTGGCTTAGATCAGAGGTCTCTCCAAACTGCGGCCCTTCGCTTGCTTTTATCTGGCCCCTTGGGGCACTACTGAGTCCACTGACACCAATGAATACCAAAGATGGGGCACAATTTCCACCACTGACACCAACAATGGGGCCCAATGACACCAACAATGGTTACAGTTCATCCCAATGACACCAACAATGGGGCCCAATGACACCAACAATGGGGTCATCTCCCTAACAACATAGGTGGGGCATTGTTTACTCCCACTGATGGGGGGACATTTTCTGCCCCGGCCCCCCTGCGGTCTGTAGGACAGTAAACTGGCCCTTTGGGGGCCCCTGACACTCACAGCACATCTCTGCAATAAATGTAAATCTCTAAAGATGCTGAGAACCAAAATCCCGGTAATTCTGCCCAAATCCATCCATGTCTGCAGTGAGATGACAACTCTGCTTCCACTGCTGTCAGTCCTGCCCAGATCTCTGGACTACAGAACACCTCCCCCTCCTTCATCTACATTTATAACTGATAGGTTGGTTTCTCTGTGTGATGGATTGTCTGATCACCGAAATGATTCACAAAACGGCTCGCAGTCACCCACAGAAATCATGACTGACACCGACTCCGGATCCTCCGATGCCTGAAGAGCCGCGGGGGCCTCATTTAGTATGGCCTCCTAATGCCTGAACCCTAATACATCATCCTTCACCATGGAGTCACACTTAGTATGGCCTCCTAATGCCTGAACCCTAATACATCATCCTTCACCATGGGGAGTCGCACTTAGTATGGCCTCCTAATGCCTGAACCCTAATACATCATCCTTCACCATGGAGTCACACTTAGTATGGCCTCCTAATGCCTGAACCCTAATACATCATCCTTCACCATGGAGTCACACTTAGTATGGCCTCCTAATGCCTGAACCCCAATACATCATCCTTCACCATGGAGTCACACTTAGTATGGCCTCCTAATGCCTGAACCCAATACATCATCCTTCACCATGGAGTCTCACTTAGTATGGCCTCCTAATGCCTGAACCTATAATACATCATCCTTCACCATGGAGTCACACTTAGTATGGCCTCCTAAAGCCTGAACCCGAATCATCATCCTTCACCATGGAGTCACACACTTAGTATGGCCTCCTAATGCCTGAACCCAATACATCATCCTTCACCATGGAGGGGCCTCCTAAGTCTGAACCACATCATCCTTCACTGGGGAGTCGCATGGCCTCCTAATGCCTGAACCCTAATACATCATCCTTCACCATGGAGTCACACTTAGTATGGCCTCCTAATACATCATCCTTCACCATGGAGTCACACTTAGTATGGCCTCCTAATGCCTGAACCCAATACATCATCCTTCATGCGGAGTCACCTTAGTATGGCCACCTAATGGAACCCCAATACATCAGTCACCATGGACACACTTAGTATGGCCTCCTAATGCCTGAACCGAATACATCATCCTTCACCATGGAGTCACACTTAGTATGGCCTCCTAATGCCTGAACCCCAATACATCATCCTCACCACAATGGGAGTATGGCCTAGTATGGAACCCTAATACATCCTTCACCAATGCACTGAACCCTAAATGAACCCTAATACATCATCCTTCACATGGGGAGTCACACTTAGTATGGCCTCCAAATGCCTGAACCCTAATACATCATCCTTCACCATGGAGTCACACTTAGTATGGCCTCCTAAAGCCTGAACCCTAATACATCATCCTTCACTGGGAGTCACACTTAGTATGGCCTCCTAATGCCTGAACCCTAATACATCATCCTTCACCATGGAGTCACACTTAGTATGGCCTCCTAATGCCTGAACCCTAATATACATCATCCTTCACCATGAGTCACACTTAGTATGGCATCCTAATGCAGCCTGAACCCTAATAATACATCATCCTTCGCTGTGACTCTGCACGTCATTCGTCACCTTCTGGAATCTTTGCTCCAACACCTCGTGTTCCCATTTCAGGTCATTCAGCTCCTTCTCTGTGGATTTCAGACGCGCTTTTGTACTCTGCAGAGAAGAAGAATACAATTATTAGAATCATTTGTTTACAAGCCGTTTCCTCCCCGTGCCGGGCTTTGTGCCGTGATGTCAGTGACAGGAGTTGGAGGTGTCATGAGAAGTCTCATGGCTGTCAGAGTCACGTGTGTGCGTGTGGTACATCCATAAATCCTGCCATGATACAGAGTCTGGTGTGCGTGATAAATGTGGACTAAAGTCCCGCCATGTAGAAGGTGTCGGGTTCATTCCAGAGTCTGATATCCTTCTCATGTATAAATGTCATGTATGATCCTTGCGTCACGTCTGGGAATCCCTTGATATCCGGAGAGGAAGAAGCGTTGACTCCCAGCTGTCCAATCACATTGGTGCCCTTAGCGTGTATCACATCATCTGACAATATCTAGAGTTGGATAACAAACACGGAGAACGTTTCTTTTATCGGACACATCGGGATTATTTTACACGTTTAATGGAAATGCCATCATTTTTCTTTGCACTGCGAAAGCCGCGGTCTGGTATTTCTGACGCGTATTTCCTGGCAGACGAGACGAGGGGGGGACTCGGGTGTCATTAAAGGGAAAGGTCACTCAGCAGCCGTGTCATTAAAGGGAAAGGTCACCGCAGACGAGGGGCGGGACTCAGCAGCCGTGTCATTAAAGGGAAAGGTCACCGCAGACGAGGGGCGGGACTCAGCAGCCGTGTCATTAAAGGGAAAGGTCACCGCAGACGAGGGGCGGGACTCAGCAGCCGTGTCATTAAAGGGAAAGGTCACCGCAGACGAGGGGCGGGACTCAGCAGCCGTGTCATTAAAGGGAAAGGTCACCGCAGACGAGGGGCGGGGACTCAGCAGCCGTGTCATTAAAGGGGAAAGGTCACCGCAGACGAGGGGCGGGACTCAGCAGCCGTGTCATTAAAGGGAAAGGTCACCGCAGACGAGGGGCGGGACTCAGCAGCCGTGTCATTAAAGGGAAAGGTCACCGCAGACGAGGGGCGGGACTCAGCAGCCGTGTCATTAAAGGGAAAGGTCACCGCAGACGAGGGGCGGGACTCAGCAGCCGTGTCATTAAAGGGAAAGGTCACCGCAGACGAGGGGCGGGACTCAGCAGCCGTGTCATTAAAGGGAAAGGTCACCGCAGACGAGGGGCGGGACTCAGCAGCCGTGTCATTAAAGGGAAAGGTCACTACAGACGAGGGGCGGGACTCAGCAGCAGCCGTGTCATTAAAGGGAAAGGTCACCGCAGACGAGGGGCGGGACTCAGCAGCCGTGTCATTAAAGGGAAAGGTCACCGCAGACGAGGGGCGGGACTCAGCAGCCGTGTCATTAAAGGGAAAGGTCACCGCAGACGAGGGGCGGGACTCAGCAGCCGTGTCATTAAAGGAAAGGTCACCGCAGACGAGGGGCGGGACTCAGCAGCCGTGTCATTAAAGGGAAAGGTCACCGCAGACGAGGGGCGGGACTCAGCAGCCGTGTCATTAAAGGGAAAGGTCACCGCAGACGAGGGGCGGGACTCAGCAGCCGTGTCATTAAAGGGAAAGGTCACCGCAGACGATGGGGGCGGGGACTCAGCAGCCGTGTCATTAAAGGGAAAGATCACCGCAGACGAGGGGCGGGACTCAGCAGCCGTGTCATTAAAGGGAAAAGTCCGCAGACGACGGGGCGGGACTCAGCAGCCGTGTCATTAAAGGGAAAGGTCACCGCAGACGAGGGGCGGGACTCAGCAGCCGTGTCATTAAAGGGAAAGGTCACCGCAGACGAGGGGCGGGACTCAGCAGCCGTGTCATTAAAGGGAAAGGTCACCGCAGACGAGGGGCGGGACTCAGCAGCCGTGTCATTAAAGGGAAAGGTCACCGCAGACGAGGGGCGGGAGCCGTGTCATTCAGCAGGGGCGGGCGGGGCAGCTTCTGTCATTAAAGGGAAAGGTCACCGCAGACGAGGGGCGGGATTCAGCAGCCTTGTCATTAAAGGGAAAGGTCACCGCAGACGAGGGGCGGGATTCAGCAGCCGTGTCATTAAAGGGAAAGGTCACCGCAGACGAGGGGCGGGACTCAGCAGCCGTGTCATTAAAGGGAAAAGGTCACCGCAGATGAGGGGGCGGGACTCAGCAGCCGTGTCATTAAAGGGAAAGGTCACCGCAGACGAGGGGCGGGACTCAGCAGCCGTGTCATTAAAGGGAAAGGTCACCGCAGACGAGGGGCGCGGGGACTCAGCAGCCGTGTCATTAAAGGGAAAGGTCACCGCAGACGAGGGGGCGGGACTCAGCAGCCTTGTCATTAAAGGGAAAGGTCACCGCAGACGAGGGGGGGGACTCAGCAGCCGTGTCATTAAAGGGAAAGGTCACCGCAGACGAGGGGCGGGACTCAGCAGCAGCCGTGTCATTAAAGGGAAAGGTCACCGCAGACGAGGGGCGGGGACTCAGCAGCCGTGTCATTAAAGGGAAAGGTCACCGCAGACGAGGGGGCGGGACTCAGCAGCCGTGTCATTAAAGGGAAAGGTCACCGCAGACGAGGGGCGGGACTCAGCAGCCGTGTCATTAAAGGGAAAGGTCACCGCAGACGAGGGGCGGGACTCAGCAGCCGTGTCATTAAAGGGAAAGGTCACCGCAGACGAGGGGCGGGACTCAGCAGCCGTGTCATTAAAGGGAAAGGTCACCGCAGACGAGGGGGCGGGACTCAGCAGCCGTGTCATTAAAGGGAAAGGTCACCGCAGACGAGGGGCGGGACTCAGCAGCCGTGTCATTAAAGGGAAAGGTCACCGCAGACGAGGGGCGGGACTCAGCAGCCGTGTCATTAAAGGGAAAGGTCACCGCAGACGAGGGGCGGGACTCAGCAGCCGTGTCATTAAAGGGAAAGGTCACCGCAGACGAGGGGCGGGACTCAGCAGCCGTGTCATTAAAGGGAAAGGTCACCGCAGACGAGGGGGGGACTCAGCAGCCGTGTCATTAAGGGAAAGGTCACCGCAGACGAGGGGCGGGACTCAGCAGCCGTGTCATTAAAGGGAAAGGTCACCGCAGACGAGGGGCGGGACTCAGCAGCCGTGTCATTAAAGGGAAAGGTCACCGCAGACGAGGGGCGGGACTCAGCAGCCGTGTCATTAAAGGGAAAGGTCACCGCAGACGAGGGGCGGGACTCAGCAGCCGTGTCATTAAAGGGAAAGGTCACCGCAGACGAGGGGCGGGACTCAGCAGCCGTGTCATTAAAGGGAAAGGTCACCGCAGACGAGGGGCGGGACTCAGCAGCCGTGTCATTAAAGGGAAAGGTCACCGCAGACGAGGGGGCGGGACTCAGCAGCCGTGTCATTAAAGGGAAAGGTCACCGCAGACGAGGGGCGGGACTCAGCAGCCGTGTCATTAAAGGGAAAGTCACCGCAGACGAGGGGCGGGACTCAGCAGCCGTGTCATTAAAGGGAAAGGTCACCGCAGACGAGGGGCGGGACTCAGCAGCCGTGTCATTAAAGGGAAAGGTCACCGCAGACGAGGGGCGGGACTCAGCAGCCGTGTCATTAAAGGGAAAGGTCACCGCAGACGAGGGGCGGGACTCAGCAGCCGTGTCATTAAAGGGAAAGGTCACCGCAGACGAGGGGCGGGACTCAGCAGCCGTGTCATTAAAGGGAAAGGTCACCGCAGACGAGGGGCGGGATTCAGCAGCCTTGTCATTAAAGGGAAAGGTCACCGCAGACGAGGGGCGGGATTCAGCAGCCGTGTCATTAAAGGGAAAGGTCACCGCAGACGAGGGGCGGGACTCAGCAGCCGTGTCATTAAAGGGAAAGGTCACCGCAGATGAGGGGGCGGGACTCAGCAGCCGTGTCATTAAAGGGAAAGGTCACTGCAGATGAGGGGGCGGGACTCAGCAGCCGTGTCATTAAAGGGAAAGGTCACCGCAGATGAGGGGGCGGGACTCAGCAGCCGTGTCATTAAAGGGAAAGGTCACCGCAGACGAGGGGCGGGACTCAGCAGCCGTGTCATTAAAGGGAAAGGTCACCGCAGACGAGGGGCGGGATTCAGCAGCCGTGTCATTAAAGGGAAAGGTCACCGCAGACGAGGGGTGGGACTCAGCAGCCTTGTCATTAAAGGGAAAGGTCACCGCAGACGAGGGGCGGGACTCAGCAGCCGTGTCATTAAAGGGAAAGGTCACCGCAGACGAGGGGCGGGACTCAGCAGCCGTGTCATTAAAGGGAAAGGTCACGACAGACGAGGGGGCGGGACTCAGCAGCCGTGTCATTAAAGGGAAAGGTCACCGCAGACGAGGGGCGGGACTCAGCAGCCGTGTCATTAAAGGGAAAGTTCACCTTTTGACAAAAAATAATAAATGAACATTTTTTTTTGCAAGTAAATAAAATGTGCATTTATTATTCTTGGTTGCAGAAGCCAGTAAAGCATTTCCCCAGCGATCAGCAGATTGGACATTGGCTGCAACTCTGGGAGCGTGACACATGTTCCATCATAAAAACGGGAGGAACATGTAACATGGCAAGAAACTGGTCCTTGGCATTGGAAGCAGCAGGAAGCCTTGAAAAGCTCATGAGCTGAAAGGGGGTGTATAGCGCTTGTATATATAGATATATATATATTTTATTTATTTCATTTTGCTTGAGGTGATTGTAGCCGGATTAGTGCATTTGCGACAGAAACAATTGAGTCCTGTCCGTGATACTTTTTTTATTTGCACTAACATACAATTTTGAGGACAAGCTTTCAGGGTCTGTCCCCTTCTTCAAGGTCTAAGCAGTACTATTAAAAATCACAAAGTTTAAGCAGAATGTTAGAATGGATTGAGAGAAAAAAAAAAAGGGCTACAGATAAGATACATCAAAAGTGAGGGGGGGGGATACAACACTCACACAGAGGGGGGGAGGGGGATACAACACTCACACAGAGGGGGGGAGGGGGGATACAACACTCACACACAGAGGGGGGGGAGGGGGGATACAACACTCACACAGAGGGGGGGAGGGGGGATACAACACTCACACAGAGGGGGGGAGGGGGGATACAACACTCACACAGAGGGGG